AACAACTAAACATAGCCTAACACTGTACACTTTCATCTACAACAACTAAACATAACCTAACACTGTACACTTTAGTAAACTTTCATCTGCTACAACTAAACATAGCCTAACACTGTACACTTTAGTAAACTTTCATCTGCTACAACTAAACATAACCTAATAATGTGCACTTTAGTAAACTAAATACAACCTAAAAACACACAATCTGTAAACCTTTTCTTCTGAAACATCACTTGTAGGTAAATTTTTGAGTATTAACTCAGGGATTAAAACAAGAATCATGATCAACTTCAAAGTTGAGATCATAAGAATATGTTAATGGTTTCATAGTTCTCCAATTCCCATGCAGAGAAAACCTGAAAGATTTGTTTAAAATATAGTAGTCAGTTGTCCAAATTAAAACAAAAAGTTGTGTTCCCAATACTGCATTACTAACATAAACAAGTTTTACATTACATAACTCTTTTGTATGTACGTACATACGTACGTACACACATATATATACGTACACACACGAAATATTCTTCTATCTTACTGCTATTAAACCAGCTCTAATGGAAGACTTACTTTAGTGGACTGAACCCTTGAGGGGGCGGAGGAGGAGGAGGTGGTGGAGGCGGGGGTAAAGGTGGTATCCCCGCTTCTCTACGCTGCAACTGACATTCTAATTCCTGCACTGCAGACAGTGTTACGAAGGAAAGTTGCAAGGTTAGTTGAACACCAGATAATCATGCAAGCCATGCTGCATGCAATCACCAAAATTTTTAGAATTTTTGAAATTAAACGTGACACCTGACTTCCCATGCTTTCCTGTTCACCACATGCTAGGTTACTTGAAATACGTTTACAGAGGTTACGATGAAAAGAGAAGTAACGTTATCAATTCTTAATGTGCATCAGAGCAAAAAACAGAAGCAAGAAAAATGAAAACAACTTAATATTCTCCTTGATAAGAAAAAGACAACTTTAGAAGTACGTTTTAGGCAAAGGTATTGCAAATATCTTTGAACTTATAACATCAAAACACTACTAAATTTAATCAAAAATAATTATTTTTACAAATCAAAATACTTACATTTTAACTCACATGACAGTACTAGTGAATACATAGGTTTTAAATCAAGAAGAATGTAACTTTCAGAACATGGGTATGCGGGTTTTACTTTTTCAATAACAACAAATGATTTTCAGACACTAAAACATAAATACTGAGGGTTTGGTTTTTGCCACAAGAACATTACTTTCAGACACTACCAAACGACTATGAAAGTTACTCAACGAAACATTTACTTTTCTGATAAAAATAAATATACTGTCCTTAGAAGGCACCACTATAAATTAGCTTTGGAAACTCACTTTCATACATTAACTATTCATAATGCTTTCAAATACACAGACTTAATTCAGTTGTTCAAACATCCTTTGTTTGAATGTAACATGCATCACTACCATGCTATAACAAGGAACCAATATTTGAGTAGTTTAAAAACTGAAAGCTGGTAATTAAAAATAAATTGAGACATTTTTTTTTTCTCATGAAATAAACATATTTATTAAAACTTTAAAAAGCTCATCAAAAAAAGTAAACAAAGATTGTTCTGTACCTCTGTGCTGAAGAATTTCTATTTTACGTTCGGCTGTATAAGTTCTCTGTTCCGCTTTTTCCACACAATGTTCTAGGATTTTCAGCTTCTCTTTCCAAGGACTAGTCAGTTCTTCCTCGACTTCCTCTCTTATTTCCATTCTCAAATTGTTAAACTAAGAAAAAAGCATAATTATATAGCTGTTGTTAAGTAAAAATCCCATTTATAGATTTTTGTTGTCTCTCAAGCAAACATTCAGTCCTCCCAATCAGAGCTGAGCATTTCGGTTAGTTTGATTTTTACTTTATATTCCCGTACATTCTGTTTGTCCAAATGTGGACTTACTGGTTGAACCCACAGTTCTTGCTTAAAAAAATGGATAAGGCATAAAGCCAATAATCATCAGAGGTGCTAAGCCTAAGTTCCAATAGTTTT